TATTCTTCATAGCGGCCACATTCCTACCAAGCGAGAGGTAGCAAGGGTGGTTATGAGTATTTTCGATCCACTCGGCCTCTTGGCATTTTTTCTGGCTCACGGTAAAATGTTGATCCAAGAGCTTTGGGCAAAAGGGACAGAATGGGACCAAGAAATTTCGCAGGACATCAATGAACGCTAGCGACAGTGGGCTGATCTTTTCCAGGCGTTAGACTTGCTGCGCGTACCGCGGTGTTATTTTAACTTATCCAAGGACTTCGCCCGTTTACAAATCCATCTCTTCGTCGACGCGAGTGAGGCCGCATATGCCTGTGTGGTGTACTTTCGTTTGGAGACTGATCGTGGTACAGAGGTGGTTCTTGTTGGTGCTAAGACCAAGGTAGCACCGCTGGAGACGCTCTCAATTCCTCGACTTGAGCTTAAAGCGGCTGTCCTTGGTGTCCGATTAATGGAGACGATTCAAAAATACCACTCGTACACAATCCACCAGCGCTACTGCTGGAGTGATGCCAGCACTGTGCTCACGTGGGTGCGCTCAACCGATCATCGACGTTATCACAAATTTGTCGCCGTTCGAGTCGGTGAGATTTTATCATCAACGCAGCAGTCGGAATGGCGGTGGGTTCCGTCCAAACTAAATGTGGCAGATCTGGCCACTAAGTGGAACACTGGAGCACAAGTGACGACCGAGAACCCTTGGCTCCAAGGGCCGGCCTTCCTACACCAGCCTGAGGAGCGCTGGCCTGTTCAACGTAAGGTTACTTCAACTGAAGAAGAACTCCGACCTGCTCACTGTCATGTCGTCCACTTCGTTCCAAACATGTATTTCGAAAGATTCGATCGATGGATCAAAATGCAGCGGGTAGCTGCGTACGTGTTTCGCTGTATTGATAATCTACGTAGAAGTAGAACCAAAGACAATTTGGAACTCGGCAATCTAACCAGCAACGAACTCAGAAGAGCCGAAGAAGCACTGTTTAAAACAGCTCAAGGTGAGTACTACGCCGATGAAATCGTCATCCTCGTCAAGACCCAAGGGCCTCCTGAAAATCGCCACGCCCTCGTAGACAAATCCAGCACAACCTACAATAAATGTCCGTTTCTGGATGAGAAGGGTATCCTACGCAGTCGTGGTCGAATCGGTGCGGCACCGTATGCACCGGCCGAAGCTAAGTTCCCGATCGTCCTACCCAAACAACACCTAATTACTTTCCTTATTGTAGACTGGTATCATCGCCGCTTCCGTCACGCCAACCGAGAAACCATATTCAACGAGATTCGTCAACGCTTTTAGATCTCATCACTAAGAAGGCTGTTGGATAAAGTCGCAAATGCTTGTGTATTATGCCACCTAACGAAGGCGATTCCAAGACCACCAGCAATGGCTCCACTTCCCGAGATGCGCCTGACAGCTTTCGTTCAACCTTTCACGTTCACCGGGGTGGACTACTTCGGGCCAGTACTGACCAAGGTGGGTAGGAGCAGTGTGAAACGTTGGGTGGCCCTCTTCACATGTCTCACGATTAGAGCGGTACACATGGAAATCGTGCATTCACTAAGTACGGAGTCGTGCATTATGGCTGTTCAACGCTTCGTGGCACGCAGAGGCAATCCAAGAGAGTTCTGGACCGACAATGCCACCTGTTTTCAGGGCACTAGCAACGAGCTGAAGGCGCAAACGGATGCCAAAATCAAGGCCCTCTCGGAAAGGTTTACAACCGCCGAAACTGCTTGGAAATTCATCCCACCAGCGGCACCACACATGGGCGGTGCATGGGAGAGGCTCGTCCGGTCCGTAAAAGTAGCGATTGGAGGCTTGCTTAACGGTCCACGCAAACCAGACGACGAGACATTGGAGACAATCCTTCTGGAAGCGGAGGGGATGATCAACTCCAGACCGCTTACCTACATCCCTCTGGAGTCGGCAGACCAGGAGGCCTTGACACCCAACCATTTTTTGCTGGGCAGTTCTTCTGGGTCCAAGTTCCTACCCACCGAGCAGTTAGACTATCGGTCAACCCTTCGAAGTAGCTGGAAGCTAGCTAGGTATATCGCTGATGATTTTTGGTGCAGGTGGCTTAAGGAGTACCTTCCTGTGATCACACGGCGATGCAAGTGGTTCAACGATGTAAAAGATCTGGCAGTAGGCGATTTGGTTCTGGTCGTTGGCGGAACGGCGAGGGACCAGTGGAAACGTGGACGTATCGAGCAAGTGTTTTCCGGCAGGGACAGTAGAGTGCGCCAAGCTCTTGTGCGTACATCTTCGGGGATTCTACGAAGACCAGCAGTGAAGTTAGCTGTATTGGACGTCGAGTTTAACAGTAAACCCAGGTTCGGTACCCCAGAAGTTTCGAACCCTCACCAAGGTTTACGGGTGGGGGTATGTCACGACGAGCCCCTCATCGCGGCGGTGCTGCAAACGCTACGGCCCTGCATTTAGGGTGAATCTAATGGCAGTGGGAAACGTTACCGGTGGAACTAAGAATAACGTCAAACGAAAAGAGGAAGAACAAACACGAAGAACAAAAGTTGACATAGTTATATTATTATCCTTATTCTATCATTCTACTTATCTAATATTCACATTATTTGCCGTGTAGTGCTTAAATCTAATCATAAATTATAAACACTGTAAGTACGGATGAAATTAACGGAAATTGAACTTAACGCTAGTATTAAATTAAACTATAGTACGGTCTAAATTGAAGAAGGGGAGTGGGTATTCGAGCCATACCACTTCCAGAGCAAGTACACCAAATTTGTAAGTCTTAAAATTAATATGTTACGCATCTTTAATGAAATAAACTCTAAATTGCAGCTTTAAGCTATCACACACACAACCCACGAAGTGTAGCTATAAAGAGTTGGTAAACTCATCCCAACACAAGCTTCTTCCAACCCATCGGTCCTTTTGAGGACCACAAATGACTGATAAAAGAGTTTACTAAAGAGTAAGAGCTTGTATTCAAGACATACCGTCCAGGATTGGCTTGTACTACATGCACATCAACAGAGCAACTGAAAAACAGAACTCTCAAATTGCTTCCGAATTTCAACCAACAATTTCAATCGAAATCAATTTAATATATAGGGGAATTTACGTATTCTCGGCAATCTAAGCAGCGACCTTCTTTCTATAGCCTTTTTCTCTAAGGAACGCACACATATGCAGTATTGGTTTGTTTACAATCTTTTGCTGCCAGCTGCTCTAACAATTTCAGTCGAAAGAATTGTCAAAAACTGTTTTGAAACGCTTTTACAAAGCTCCAATCTTCTCTAGTGAGAGCGAGTATTGTCGGCAACCAGTTTTTCTTCGGCAACCGTTCCATTTGAACTGCATGTAAATCTGCTGTTCTATTATCGGCAACTCGAAATCAGCTACAATTTGTAGTGCATGTTTTTCATTTCAAGAAAACCTTGCTAGATTGATTTTTCTCAGTGGTAAAAATATAGTCAAATTGAAGCTAAAAGCATAAAGAATCGTTTGCATGCATTCAGCGAAGTGTTTTCGTAAGAAAATCCAGTGTAAATAGTGTTTCAATTTGGGTTGCCGAAAATAGTCTGGCATGCCGAAGCCGTCATTTCCCTACCATACTGTTCGTACATCGACGAAAAGTGTATCGGCGCGCCATCTAGGAGTCAACCCTCATGGACCGACAGCATAAACCATTCTCGTTCGTCGATCATGGCGCCCGGCTAAAAAGAGAATTGTCGGTCTCACTCTATCCGGTCTTCTGCAAAATGGAGGAATCCCCTATAAAAGGCCGACTTGTCAACGTGCTCGTCCTCTTTTCGTGCGACAACTCGACACCCATCGACAGCGAACCAGAATCACAACAAACAAAGTGAAACCGAAAGTTCAGTGTAATTTTTTGAATTATATTTTTAGAAGTTAGAAATAAAAGTAGTGACCTAGTTACGTTAGTAATTAAATAACAGAAGTCTGTAGCTATTCACTTGTGCTCTATATCGGTGGGGTTATAAGAAATTATAGGAAAGTTAAAAATAAAAGAAATCGATTCATAAAGACTGTTGTGTTCCCGTTGTGCTCTGTGGTGCCCTGAAAGAAAGAAAATTTGGCACAGAACTACTGTTCTCCGCCGATCCATCGAACACATACTATTGCTATTACATCAAAACTACCTTTCGTAATCCTACGTCATATCTATGGTCGATACAACCTCTTATTTTTTTAATTTGTAAGAACTTGGTGAACGCCACTCTTGTATAGAAACAGTGAAAATATTTCACTGTTTCTCCGAAAATGTATGGCTTACGTCACTTTGTCTATATGCTTCTAAATTAAATTTTGTAGGAGTGTGAAGTGTTTTTGGGTGTCATTGAGAATGTAGAAAGCGAATATGATCAACATTAACAAATGTCAGAACCACTGCGTGAAATTGAATCGAACAGCTTCGCCTTAATGCATAAGTTAGTTCATTTGACAGTGAAAGATGGAATGAACACGAATCAAGCGAAAACAAACAGCATGAAAACTGATCGAAAGTAATTCTGTTGATGCTGAAGGGGATCTGCTCGAAGAGAATGACCTTCAATTGAAAGTGATGGTTGACAGCTTCGTCGTCGCTTGACGACTTTCGAATGAAAGTGACTTTGTAGGGGCCTGGTCCTTATTACAATAAGAATCATTGCTGAAGATACCAAGCCTCGGAAGCTATATTACTTTCCTGGCCCACTGTGCATTGGGTCCTGGGTACTCAAAATGACCACCAGTTAGCATGTTTCCAAAGTTCCACTGATTTTATCATCAAAATCACCGAATCAAGAAGCGCTGCCATTGACAAATCGAGTTATATAATCAAAATAACACTACGTAGAACATCAACCAAAGGAGGCATCGAACTGAATCCCAACGAACGACTGAAATACGGCTAATTATGTCAAGCGCTTTCTTGATGAGCAGAACCTCGCCCGGGTTTCCGGTGGATAAACACTTGCTCAACTAGAACGATTGAAACTATTCCGAACAAAGTACTTACTGATGTTTCCTAAAGCCACTGTCGTAGTGTTGTTGTTGCTGCTGCTGCTGTTGCTTATTGTCGTAGTACATGTTTGTATGATAGTTGTTCTTAAGCCAGGAAGTCTTTTTATCACTCTCCTCTCCGTTCTCGTTCGCCTCGTCTCCCTGCCGATGGCCTTCGATGTTGAACACCCCCAAGGCCCCACTTCGGTCCCGGTCCCGTTGGGGCACCCGGCCGTAGAACCCATCGTAACTGTTGTAGAACGTGTTGGGCTGAATTTCGAAATTACCGCCTACACCGTTGTCTTTGTACGGTGAGTAGCCATTCATTGACTGGGATGCTTTCCTCTCTGTGATCTCTGAAATAAAAAAGAAACGAGAAATGAAAAACACAAGCATCAGAAAAATATCACGAATGTCTCCAAGAGCAACAAGATTTACTTGTCTCTTCCAAGAAAAATAAAAACTCAGATTGCGACGCCTAATTCAAAAAGTCCATAAAACTTTAGCGTTTAATGTTGAAATTTTCCTCAGAAAAGCTTTCAGCTGTGCCATCAAAATTAAAATAAATACAACGGCACCCTCGCAAAACGACAGACGAAATAAAAAATGATTCATTAGCTTTACTTTAAATCCACCCCTGCCTCAATGAGACATAAAAGCCATGCGGAAACGATCCGATCCAAAGCAGGCCAGATTTGGCGAGGGGAAGAAGACAAAACAGAAATGAAGTGCCCGCTCGGCCGTGAGCCGAACTTAACGACTTCATCACACGTTAATGCAGTACAATGAGAGCGTTAGACTCCCCCCCCCCCGTACCCCAGCCGCCCCCTACATAAACACATACATGCACACGTCGTACATTCCGGTGACTTCCGTTCCGGCTCACCAGACAGCGAGCGAGTGCCCGGGAGGCAGGAAGCAGTAATCACCGTCGTGTCGGATGGTTTCTTCTTTGCATTCAGTGTATTTTTTTATCCTTTTCTTTCCGAGCACCTGTGATGTAAATGAGATGTAAATAAATGCAAAAATGTGTACCCTTTCGGATGGGTTTTCCTCTGCCGCCACCCCGTCGTCCTCGTGCGGCCGAAGCTTAAGGTTGATGGGAGCAACTAGTGACATTGATGGGGTTCTTTTTTTACTTCTTTTTCCTGTGATGTTTAGTTTGGTAGCTGTGCTTTCTTTTCATTGGAGGTTACCAGAAGAAAGCTTTAGCATGGTTGCACTTGTTGAGTAACGAGAGAACGTAGGAAGCCATGCGAATTTGACGTCGACGGTTACTGGAGGAATTATCCAAGCATTCGTGAAACACTCTCTGAACAAGTTCTGTCTAGTTGATAGCAGTTTGAAGAGCATTTTTCCCGTGGCTTGATGAGGTTATATTTTTGCTAGTTTGAGCGATAAGTTGTATTATGCAACAAAGTATAATAACAAGAAAAATCATTACTTAGGAGAAAATGGTTTTTTTGCCATTTTAAAACGATGACATGCTTCATGAACCTTGCAAAAATGATCTTTTACTGCGTAGCTACTCAGATTTACTGTCCTGTACGTGATTTTAGTCGGGCTTGCGTCTAGAATAAGTTTTTAAAAGAAGGTTCTAAAAAAAAATTGTTATATGCATAACCGAGGAAAACAACCTATGCGACCCATAGACACATCTTGGCGAGCCGAGATCTCGACTATTGGAATTTAATATATGCGTTTTTAAAACGGTAGTTAGTGTCATCTTGTGTTCTCCCAAGTTGTTAGCTCTCCATCGGTGTACCCTAATGTCTGTCTTTTTCATCAGTATGTTGCTTAGTTTGAAATCAAGAGCACATTGCTCGCCAAACCTTGTGTTCTCAATCCCTACCATGCCATCCATTTGTTACAATTTGTTACCCCAAACCTCGAGTTAGCCGCGAGTAATCGGCCCCTGCTTTACTAACGTTAGTTTTAAGTAATTTAGTAATCTAAATAATGAATGGGCTACAAAATGGTGAGTGACAATCTGGAAGGAGCGATATGCCTAGCTCCGGTCCTCACAAGTTCCTACTTCACGCCTCCACGAGTCATATGATCACAAAAGACTGCCAGCTGAAACATGGACACAGCTGGTTGGCGTAGCCTGGCCAATGTTGTCAATCCGACAATAGCAGAGTGAGGAGCTACGACGCGAACACTGGCGCGGTATCCATAGCACGGTGATAGAGGAAATGCTTCGCCAACCCGAGCGTCTGTTCACCATGGAGGTGCGGCTTAAACAGCGTCTGACTGGCATCCAGCGGCTGAATAAGAAATGCTCTTCCCCGGAAGCTACATCTAAGATGGCAGCCCCATCACGGCGGATAGGAGACCTTAGGCCAATCACTTACTGTCTCTGAAACCTTTACAATTGTTACAGAAACCAACAGAGAAAGACATCGAACTGATTTAACGGCAACGACTTTAAGCGCAAACAACGGACACGAATTGGATCATGGAATGTATTGACGTTAGCCCAGCAGGGTAAACTGGCACAACTCGCCAACGAGGCGCGACGTATGAAGCTAGAAATCCTGGGACCGAGTGAAGTTCGTTGGCCAAACTTTGGAGAACACAAACTGCCGTCGGGACAGGTACTACTATACTCTGGTATTCGAGGTGAAAACGCTCCCCGCCATCGTGGAGTTGGTCTCCTACTTAGCGTCCAGGCAAGTGCTGCGCTCATCAAGTGGGAGCCTGTTAATGAGAGGATAATCGTTACCAACCGATGCTGCCGAGCTACAGGACAGTCAACTGATTGCCGTCGTGGATAAGGTTCCAAAGAGTGACATCAAGATCTACACTGGCGACTTCAATGCGAAGATCGGCTTCGACAACTCGGACTATGAGCGTGTCATGGGACGCCATGGTCTCGGCGAAATGAGCGAAAACGGTGAGCTGTTTGCAGAATTTTGTGGCAATAACGACATGGTGATCGGGGGCTCGCTCTTCCCCCATCGGCCAGTGCACAAAGTCACGTGGGTTTCCCGTGATGGACATACCGAAAATCAGATCGACCAGATGTGGACCATCTGCGGTGAAATCCGCCTACGCATGGCGCGGATCCAGCGACGGTAGGAGAGACTCGGGTGGCGGTTCAACACACGCTGACTTGAAGATCCAGCGGTAAAAATGTCTTTTGTTGACTCGAGCTGCGGACGTTCCAGAAGGTGGCAGCGTAGAAGAACAATGGACCGCCATCAAGAATTCCTTTATAGAAACAAGCGAGAACAACTTGGGTGAGCTGCGCACCCAGACAAAAGAGTGGATCACAGATGAAACCTGGCAGAAGATTGAGGAGCGTAGAGAAACAAAAGCCGCGATAGAGCGGGCGAGAGCCAGAGGAGCCAAGAACGAAGCCCGTCAACGGTACTCGGCTCTAGAGAAGGAAGTCAAGCGCTCTTGCAGACGGGACAAGCGAGCGTGGGTGAACTCCCTGGCCGACGAAGGGGAGAAAGCCGCAAACACTGTCGATATACGCCTCCTCTACGATATCTCACGATGCCTGAGTGGAGCAAGGATAAACCCGAAGATGCCAGTGAAAGACATGACTGGACAATTGCTTACCGACCCCACTGACCAGCTAAAACGCTGGTTTGAGCACTTCGAACAACTTCTTCAAGTTTCGACAGGCAACCAGCCATCAACATCTCGGCATGATCAGCCTAGGGTGCGGCGCATCACTCGCGTCAATTCCGAGGCCCCATCACTGCAGGAGATTGAAGCAGCTATCCGAAGCATGAAATCCAACAAGGCTCCAGGGGTCGATCGCATATCAGCGGAGATGCTCAAAGCTGACCCCACGCTATCCGCACAAATGTTGCATCAACTATTCTGTAATATATGGGACACCGTGACTTTTCCGGCCGACTGGATTCAGGACATCTTAGTGAAGGTCCCAAATTGGCGAGGCATCATGCTACTGTGTATTGTTCTCAAAGTTCTGTGCAAAGTTATCCTGAATCGAATACAGGAGAAGATTGACGCGACTCACCGACGGCAGCAGACAGGATTCCGTGCCGGAAGATCTTGTGTGGACCATATTGCCACGCTCCGCATCATCCTGGAGCAGGTCAATGAATTCCAAGAGTCGCTTTATCTGGTATTCATTGACTACGAAAACATTTTCGACCGACTCAATCACGAGAATCTGTGGGGCGCCCTGAGACGCAAGGGAGTCCCAGATAAAATCGTTAACCTCATTGAAGCGCAGTATGATGCTTTCATGTGCAGAGTTCTGCATAACGGAGCCCAGTCCGACCCTATCCGGGTAGCCGCTGGTATGAGACAAGGATGTATACTTACCGCTACTGTTTCTCATCGTAATCGACGAGATCGAATTGACCGTGTACCGAACCGTGGGATACTTTGGCAGCCTATCACCATGGAGCATCTCAACGACTTCGATTTGGCTGATGATGTTGCTCTACTTGCACAACGGTGCTCTGATATGCAGAGTAAGCTCAATAACCTAGCCGAACGCTCCTCTGCGGCGGGTCTCACCATCAACGTCAACAAGACCAAATCGTTGGATATCAACACGGGCAAGCCTACCAACTTTACGGTAGCGGGGCAAGCAGTGGAGAAGGTCGAAAGTTTCCAATATCTTGGCAGCCAAATAGCGTCGGACGGCGGGACCAAGAGCGACATAGGTGTACGAATCAAGAAGGCTAGGGCTGCCTTTGCGAGTTTGCGAAACGTATGGAGATCCAACCAGATAAGTCAACGCACCAAAATCCGAATTTTCAACTCAAACGTGAAATCTGTGTTGTTATGCGCCAGCGAGACGTGGCTGCAGATCTTCATCAACCGATGCCTGCGGTATATAATTCATGCCTGGTGGCCTCACAACTGAATCTCGAATGCCGACCTCCATCGTCGATGTCATCAGAAGCCGATAGCAACAGAAATTCTAGAGCGAAAGTGGAGGTGGGTCGGCCACACACTTCGACGGGACGGAAACGAAATCTGCAAGCAAGCGCTGGATTGGAATCCGGCAGGACATCGCAGCAGAGGCAGACCCAGGGGCTTATGGCGGCGGAGCCTCAATATGGAAATTAAGCAAGTCGATAGAAATCTGACAAGACAAAAGCGGGCAGCCGCCCAGGATGGAAGTCTTTCACGTTGGCCCTTTGCACCGCTGGTGGTGCACAGGACCCTTAAGTAAGTAAGTAAACAATGAATATCGGCTCCGTAAAGCTATGGCAAATGAGCGTGGAAAATAAACGCATTATTCAAAAAAGGCCAACAAGTAAAACTAGTAGTTGTAAGCAGCTACTGTTTATTACGTCTAACTTGATTGGTGGTTGGAATACTAATCAATCTTTCTGCTATCATTCAGGCAGTGCCTACT